ATCAGGTACAAAACCTTGTCGAAACGTTGTACATTTGCTGTTATGTTAAACTTATAATAAAGTTTTCCTTCATTACCCATTCAAGCCGTCTCCAGCCATTATCGACTAAATTTGTTTTTTTCGCTATGTATCGCTGGAGCTGAAACATAGAGAATCAGTTTGTTGACACAAAACAACAAACATGGATATATAAACATGCTTTAAAACTGGATTCGGATCAAGAATGAAAACATGCTCGCCAAGGGGCAGATCCAGAGGGGGACGATTTCTCCTCCTTAAAAGGCCAGGAAAAACAAAAATGTTAATTTCGGTGCTAAAATCGAGTGCTAGTAAATTTTCTTATTGTTCATTTAGCTGATTAAACGGATTTTTACTCTTCTTGGCTTTTTCAATATCTATTCCCATTCTGTGTCCAATTTCTGCTACCTAAATCCACCACAAGAAACTATGAAGCTATAAGTCTCTTAAGTATAAACAGCGACCTTCGAAGTGGAGCTATTATTTTAGATATGATGACCTAAAAATAACTAACGTTAATTTTTATTTTAGATCAAAATCGTGGTTTCTAATATTTTATATTAAAAGAGAAAGAGGTATGTTACATCACAATTTGTTTTCACTTTTATGACGTTATAAGTATAATTATAAAATAAAATTACCGTTGATTTGTTAAAATAAAATGGTTGTCATTAATGGTAGTATGTATTGCAAAATAAATTTTTCGGACTACTTAAGGAGATCCAGACCAAGCGGAACAAAACGGTTATTTTATACACCGCTGGATAACGTAGTGTTTATGGTGGCTGTTTTTTGATGCAATATGATGTAAGCAATGTAAGGTTTTCGGATGCAACCCTTGTAAATTTTTCTATTCGTTAATCGATTGACAAGACTAGACATTCTAGAACTCGTGGTCTCGCATCTTCAGTGTTTCAGTTCCTAATAACTCTTACTTAAGTAAAAGGAACATATTAACTGAGATGCAGATACGTCACGTTGGTTTGGTCGACAATGTTAGTATCCTAAATGATGTGTAGTTGACTTACATGAACTTTATCTAATTAGGTTTTTTCATGTTTATGTTATAACCTTGGTAATAAAACCACGTGAGCCTCCAATCGCAAGTGGTAGTGCCGAGATAAATAAGAATATGTCTAATACGATATGAAATTAAGAAATACATGGAAGAATGTTCAGAGTTCACGTAATTTAGCCTCCAGTCTCGGTTTATTTCTTAAGGCAAAATGTAAAGTAACGCTATCTATACGTATGGCAACTTTATATAACAAACCAAGGTAGGGGGCTAAAATACAAATGGATATCCAGAGGGAAGGGACCTGACTGTCTCAATTAGAATGTTCGATTCTGGTGACGAATTAAATATAATATTGATTGGTTTGGTCTCCTGTGATTTTGTCAACAATTTTTACCATAGCATAATAAAACATTTTGCAGTAAGATGTCCTATAACTAATGTTGCCTTAAGTTGTTACAAACAGCAGTAATAGCAATAGGCCTAATCCACAGATGACCAGTGAGATCAGCGAAACCAACCCCAACCTAATCTTTGCTTAATGTAAACCAATTATTGCATAATAACAAATATTATATTGTTAAAAATGAAAACTAATTATGCTGTACTTTGGTTTTCTTTTCAGTGGCAGCGAATTTCTTCCCAGCCTCCTTATTACACTGATTTCTGAACTATAGTTGAGTCTTGTCTTCTTCGTAACCTTATATAGGTTTCTGGGCCAATGACAATGTGATACATTATACAATACCTCATAAGGCCCGAGGATCATCAGGTGAGATTCAGGTGCCATACCCCCCCCCCCCCACGTGGCTAGTTGGTTTTTAGCCAAAGACTAACGTTGGGTCCCGCTGGTATGTCTTTTTTGTACCCAGTGTGTGCCAGGAAAGAGCAACACCAGAATTTTAGAGGTGAGAGGTTTGTGAAAAATGTCGTTGGAGCGACAGCAACAGTTGACACTTGGCTCTTTCGTGATTCCAAAGTCATGCAGGTTAACAGAATCTGGATTGGATGTTAACGTAATAGCAAATCCAGAGGTTAATGTTTCCTCACAGGAATCTGGCGTTTCTGGTGTACACGAGTGAGTAAACATCAGTGACTGCACCTGTTGCACTAAAAGTGAGGTTTCATGAAAACGATATTGGAAATTATTTCAATGCAATTAATTGAATCAGCTGGTGATCGTATTAAATGTGAAATACTTGAAAGGCCACAAGTACCACCAGTTGGTTACCAATTTCCATATTCTCTTCACTGAAAGAATGGAAAAGAAGAAAAACGTTGTAAGCTTTTCATTTACATAAGTTTCGTTGGCTGGTGTAATTTGATGCTAAGAAAAGTATTTTTCATGCAATTATTGCAATTATTTGTGTTTATCATCACACATGCTATTAGGGGTGAGAGATGAACTTGCCAAGTAGCCCTCCAAATGCTTGTCAGAAAGTCTGTAGTCATGTTTGCCAAACCTTTTGGCAAAGATGCTGACTTGATTTCGCATGATCCTTATGATTATCAATGGAATGCAGTAAAAGATGATAAAAAAATCCTCATTACCTATCACCCCCCCCC